TGGAGGCCCTGGGCTCCCAGCCCAGTAGCGCCTAGAGACCCAGGGCTCACAGCCCAGGCGCGCCTGGAGGCCCGGGGCTCACAAACCAGTGGCGCCTGGAGGCACTGGGCTCACAGCCCAGCGGTGCATGGAGACACGGGGCGATCAGGGGCACTACCCATTCTGTGTCTTGCATACCACGGACCTATCCCAGGAGATTCTGAGAAAGACCCCAGGATCTGGAGCCTTTTTCGGATTCTAGCTTGTGTCTCACTTAGGATTTTGTGCTCGCTGCACAGCCCCTGGAGGGGATGCTTGGGATTCTGTGTCTCCCATTTCTCGGACCTTCCCCAGGAGTTTCTGAGCGGAGACCCCAGGTTCTGGAGGCTGTTTGGAATACTGTGACCCCTTTCTCTCAGGTACAGGGAGCGGCTTCAGCCATGGTGAGCCACGGTAATTGACTCAGGGCCTGGAAGCCGGGGCTGCCAGCGGCTGCTTGGGATGCTGTGTCTCGCATCCCTCGGACCTATGCCGGGAGTTGGTGAGCTGAGACCACAGGGTTTGTTGGCTTTTTGGGATTCAGGCATGTGTCTCGCTGGGAATTTTGTGCCTGCTGCACAGCCCCTGGATGGGCTGCTTGGGATTCTGTGTCTCCCATTTCTTGGACCTTCCCCAGAAGTTTCTGTGCTGAGACACCAGGGTCTGGAGGCTGTATGGGATTCTGTGACCCCTTTCTCTCAGGTACAGGGAGAGGCTACAGCCATGGTGATCCATGGTAAGTGACTCAGGACATGGAGGCTCGGGGCGAGCAGCACCAGGCCTGGAGGCCCAGGGCGAGCAGGGGCACTACCCATTCTGTGTCTCCAATCCCTCAGACCTTCCCCGGGAGTTTCTGAGAAGAGATCCCAGGGTCTGGCGGGTGTTTGGGATTCTGTGACCCCATTCTCCCAGGTACAGGGAGCGGCATCAGCCATGGTAAGTCATCGTAAGTGACTCAGGGCCTGGAGGCCGGGGCTCACAGCAGCTGTTTGGGACTGTGTGGCTCGCATCCTTCAGACCTATCCCGGGAGTTTCTGATCTGAGACTGAAAGGGCGAGCCTATGCTGGCCGACTCCATCTTGTTCTGTGTCCTCCACCTTGAGTGACTATGTCCCGGACATGACCCCTTTCCCGGGAAAATCGCAGAAACCTCAGACCGAGCCTCCTCCCCTTGAGTAACCTCCTGCTCACCCTTTCAAACTTCCTGATCAAAACACGCCCAGTGACCTGCGTAACAGGACTCCAACCCTTACCCAGCCAATCGGCCGAGGCCACGACCCTTCCCCAGCCAATCGGCTGAGGCCACAGCCATTACCTCACCAACTGCCCCCAGACCCCTATAAAACCTTTGTGCTTTTGAAACTTGCTCTCTCTCCCTGGTATCTCACTGCTGCGTTGGTGCAGGTAGGGGATTGAGCTCCAGCTAGCTGGAATAAAGGCTCTTTTGCTTTTGCATGGAACTCGGCTCCCTGGTGGTCTTTGGGGATCACGAATTCTGGGCATAACAAGACCACAGGGTTTGTTGGCATTTTGTGATTCTAGCTTGTGTCTCCCTTGGGATTTTGTGCTCACTGCACAGCCCCTGGAGGGGCTGCTTGGGATTCTGTGTCTCCCATTTTTCGGACCATCCCCAGGAGTTTCTGAGCTGAGACCCCAGGTTCTGGAGGCTGTTTGGGATTCTGTGACCCCTTTCTCGCAGGTACAGGGAGTGGCTTCAGCCATGGTGAGTCATGGTAAGTGACTCAGGACATGGAGGCCCGGGGCAAGCAGGGGCACTACCCATTCTGTGTTTCCAATCCCTCAGACCTTCCCCGGGAGTTTCTGAGCAGAGAACCCAGGATCTGGAGGCTGTTTGGGATTCTGTGACCCCTTTCTCGCAGGTACAGGGAGTGGCTTCAGCCATGGTAAGGCATGGTAAGTGACTCAGGGCCTGGAGGCCGGGGCTCGCAGCGACTGCTTGGGATTGTGTGTCTCCCATTTCTCGGAACTTCCCAGGGAGTTTCTGAGCTGAGACACCGGGGTCTGGATGCTTTTTGGGATTCTGTGACCCCTTTCTCTCAGGTACAGTGAGTGGCTTCAGCCATGGTGAGCCATGGTGAGTGACTCAAGGACTGGAGGCCCGGGGCGAGGAGGCCCGGGGCGAGCAGCCCCCCGGGGCGAGCAGCCTGGAGGTAATAAATATCAAAATAACATACATGCAAGTATGCCCCATAATGCAATGTTCCCAGGACAAAGTATCCATTACTACTGAACAATAAGTTATTTGGTTACCCTACTAATAGAAATTATATCTATATTTACATATGGAAAATTGAAAGGAGATACAAACTAATATATACAATACAAATAAAAATTATATGTACTAGGAACGCTGAGTGGCTCAGGTTAAGCATCTGACTTCGGCTCAGGTCATGATCTCTCAGTTTGTGAGTTTGAGCCCCAAGTCGGGCTCTGTGCTGACAGCTCAGAGCCTGGAGCCTGCTTTGGATTCTGTGTCTTCCACTCTCTCTGCCCCTCCCCTGCTCTCTCTCTCTTCTCTCTCTCTCTCTCTCTCAAAAGTAAATAAACATTAAAACATTTTTTAAAAAAATTATATGTACTATATACAATATAACATATTAAATTATATATATGCATTTTGACAGGACACCTACCTCCTGGTCTAAGTTAGCTGTGCAAGCTAATGGCTGTGTGCATGCTTGCAATCCAGTGAGAAGGAATTACACTTTCCTAGAAGTTTCATACTATATCACTACTTACATCTTATGTGTACTATTTGGACATATGGCCACACCATGTTGCAAGGGAGACTGGGAAATAGTTGTATTCCAATATAAATATTGTTTTTTTTTTTAATGTGTGATTAAAAGAATAAAGAACAGGGCTCTATTCCTAAAGAAGGGGAGATAAGATTTGGGAGAAGACAGCTGTGTCTGAGTAATGTATCAGGGGCCCATATGATAACGAGGAGCCTAGAGATGAGCAGGAAACCAAGGCAGCTCTGGAGGGGCAGACTGCAAGAACCAAAGCAGGTACCCAGGAGGAAGTTTGATCAGTATACTCTTGTTGTCACTGTGTCGAATGACTAGCCTCATGTTCATATGGCCCATGTTCATATGTCCCAGAATCAAGATCCTGGTCACTTACATGTGAAAGCTAAAAAAACTGAACTCACAGAGAATAGATGGGTGGTTGCCAAAGGTGGAGTTAGGGGTCGGTGAAATGGGTAAAGGGGGTCAAAAGGTAAAAACTTACAGTTATAAGATGCATATGTTCTGGGAATGTTCTGTACAGCACAGTGACTATAGCTAACAATACTGTATTGAATTCAATACAATACTGCATTGTATTTGAAAGTTGCTAAGAGATTAAATCTTAAAAGTTTGCATCACGAGAAAAAAGTTGTGTAATTTGGTCAGGTGATAGATGTTAATTTATTTTATAATCATTTTGTATTCATTTTATGATATATACACAGATCAGATTATTATGTTGTATACCTTAAACTAATACAATGTTATATGTCAGTAAAACACTAAAAGAAGTGTCAAGATCCTGGGACTGAGCAGCTGATTGGTCGAGCCTAATTTGTGTTCTTGCCTCCAAGCTTGTGCTGCGATGGAGAGGAGGAGGGTCTTGTATCTGGCCTTCATGGTGGGACGTTAGCCTTATCTTCCACTAGAATTCTCTCAATTGGGGTTCTCTAAGAATGTGTGTGTGTGTGTGTGTGTGTGTGTGTGTGTGTGTGTGTGTTGGGGGGTGGAGAGTTAGCTGACGAACCATTTCCACCTTTAAATTTCTTGTTATGTGAGAAAATAATCTTTTACTTTTAGAAGTTGATCTTACTATTTTTCTGTTATTTGTAACCAAAAAATTCCTAACTTCAACAGCCTACAAGTATATACATTTAGTGAAGGTAGAGATTAGTGTAGGGCTATGTGAGATAGAGATGTTATTCTGCCTCAGTAGATTTCCCTTCCTTCTGACTTCTGAATGACCAAATCTTTCCCATTCTCTATGGCCCAGCTTAAATGCCATATTCTTTACTAAATATATGAAGCCATTTATCCCATTTCCTGTGTCTTCCCCCTACCCTCCCACCATAAACATGATCCTGAATCTTGTGTTGAATTTTGCTTTTCTTCTTTTTTTAAAAAAAAATTTTTAATGTAAATTTCTGAAAGGGAGAGACAGGGAGACACAGAATCTGAAGCAGGCTCCAGGCTCTGAGCTGTCAGCACAGAGCCTGACGCAGGGCTTGAACCCACGAACTGCAAGATCATGACCTGAGCTGAAGTCAGACACTTGATTGACGGAGCCACCCAGGTGCCCCTTGCTTATCTTCTTTTTTTAAAAACTAGTGTTACTGAGTCTATTCACATTCCTAAAAAGTCCACTTTAATTTTAATTTCTTTGAACTTTACAAAAATAGATCTTGATACATATAGTCTTTTGGATTTACTTTTTCCTACTAATATTGTGTTGCTAAGATTCACTCATATTGTTGTGTGCTTCAACTATTTATTTTTGTGTGACAAATTACCCCCAGACTTGGTAGCTTAAAACAGCACACGTTCTTTATCTCCCAGTTTCTCTGACTCATGAATCAGGGCACAACTTAGCTAAATCTTTTACTTTAGTGTCTCTCATGAGGCTACAGTCAAGGTGTTGCTTGGGACCACAGTTATCTCAAAGCTGACCTGGGGCAGATCCACTTCCAAATTCTATCAATGATTGTTGTCAGAGTTAAGTTCCTCATGGGCTAATGGATTCAGGACTTCCATTCCTTACTGGCTGTTGGCCAGAGGTTGCCCTCTGTTCCTTGAGAGGTGGCCCTGCCCATCATACTATGTGAGAAGAACCAGGGAGAGAATACCAACAAGACCTAAGTCACAGTCTGTTATAACTAAATTATGGAAATAACATCCCATCACTGTTGCTATATTCTCATTGGAAGAGAGTTATTATATCCAGCCTGCATTCAAAGGGAGGGAATTACACAAGGGTATGAATACCAGGAGGCAGGGTGAGGGTCATTGGGAGCCGTGTTATAAGCTGACCACATGGTATCACCCTAATTTATTCATTTAACTACTATATATTATTTTGTGTGAATATGCCACAGTTTATGCTCCTGTTTGTGGGCTTTGTTTTTTTTTTTTTTCCTGCCTGGGATTTTTGTTGTTTTGAACAGTGATGCTACAAGCATTCTTTTTTTTTTTTAATATTTAAAAAAAATGTTTATTTATTTATTTGGAGAGAGAGGGGGAGAGAGAGAGTGCTAGCAGGGGAGGGGCAGAGAGAGAGGGAGAGAGAATCCTAAGCAGGCTTCATACTGTTAGCATGGAGCCGGACTTGGGGCTCAGTCTCCTGAACTGTGAGATCATGACCTGAGCCAAAATCAGGAGTATGATGCCTAACCAACTGAGCCACCCAGGTGCCCCTACAAACATTCTTATACATATGAAGAGGACTGTGCTACTGTTCTCTGAATCATTACCAATTTAATATGTGTTCTGCCAGAAGGAACACTAAGAATTCCATGATTAATTGTACCTGGAATTAATCTCATCCCTTCTGAACTACCATAGCATACTTCATGTCTTATGATACTTAACACTTGTTACCTTTTATCACACTTATTTTGTGCATGTGATATTTTCTCCTTTGAAATAGTCACTGAGGCCAGGAAATAAATTTGATTCTTCTTTGTAATTTACTCAGTGCCTACATAGCACGCAGTATATTAGTAAGCTTTCAGTAAGCATTACTGAGTGAATAATTCTGTCAGTGTCAGTACCTAACGTTTAAAGTTTTAATCTGGCTCTGATAATCTCACTATATTTCTCACTTTTCCCCAACATGGACCCTTGTTTAGGCAGGTGAGTCTCTTTAACATTCTTTTCAATTTCTCTTTCAATCTTTTCCTAATGAATCTAGCCCACATTGATCTGTTTCTTCTTCTGTTCCTGTTGAATTTACTGTTACAATTATTTTCAGCCAGTTAAGTATTTTCATCCTATCTGTATTATCAGCTGACTAATTGAATAAACAAATACTGATTTGTTTGAGAGATTTCTATTACTTTTTTTTTTTTTTTTGCCTCAGATAATTTTGGAGTTAATGGAGCCAGACGGACCTCCAGAGTCAGAGAGTTCAGAAAGATCAATATTTTTCTCACAGCAAGAAGATGATGAAGAAGAAGGTGATGATGAAGGAGAAGCAAAAGAACCAGAAGAAACAGGCGCCCTTAATCCTGTCTTACAACCTGCCCTCACAGGGGATGTAGAAGGTTTGCAGAAGATTTTTGAGGATCCTGAGAACCTTCATCATGAACAGGCCATGCAGCTACTCTTGGAAGAAGACATCATTGGGAGAAATTTGTTGTATGCAGCTTGCATGGCTGGGCAAAGTGATGTGATTAGAGCTTTGGCAAAATATGGTGTGAATCTGAACGAAAAAACCACCAGAGGTATTTTGTCTTTTTTCTCTCATCAGTATTACTTATGACTACCTAAAGATGCTATGTACTATATTTAAAGTTGGATGAATTTGCTATGCCTGCTTATATTTTACATATATTATATACATATGCATATATATGAAAATGTGGGTATCTGTGTACATGATGATATAGCTCAGTAGATAAGTACGTAGACTTCACTCATGATTAGCAGTGTGACTTGGGCAAGTTACCTAATGTTTCGGTGCTTCTGTTTCCTCATCTGCAAAATGGGGATAATGATTGTATTTTCCTTGTAGGATGCTGTGTGGATTAAAAAAGACAGTAAATAATAAATATCTTATCACTGTAATTGGCACATGCTAAGTTGATATATAATAAGTGCTTAACAATAATATTATCACTCCTTTGAAGATTTTTTAGTTTTGTAGTCATGATCTAATTATATCTTTTTATTCAGCCACCTTTTTTTTTCAGGTTGCAAATATGTTCATTGAAGAAAATTAAAAATAACAATGACTTCCAGAAAATAGGGAATATGCATTTAAAAACATTTTAAAATATTTTTTAATGTTTATTTATTTTGAGAGAGAGAGAGAGAAACAGAGAGAGACAGAGTATCAACAGGAGAGGGGCAGAGATAGGGAGTCACAGAATCTGAAGCAGGCTCCAGGCTCTGAACTGTCAGCACAGAGCCTGATGAGGGGCTCAAATTCATGAACTGCAAGATCATGACCTGAGCTGAAGTCGGATGCTTAACCAACTGAGCCACCAGGTGCCCCCGCCAAGAATTTTTCTTAAGTATTTATTTATTTTTGAGAGACAGAGTGAGAGGAGAAGGGACAGAGAGAGAGGGAGACACAGAATCCGAAGCAGGCTCCAGGCTTTGAGCTGTCAGCACAGAGCCTGAGGCGGGGCTTGAACTCACAAACCTTGAGATCATAACCTGAGCCAAAGTCGGATGCTTAACTGACTGAGCCACCCAGGCACCCCAGGAATATGTATTTTCTTAATGCTCCCATGGAACATTTTAAAAAATTGATCACAATTAAGTCCATAAAGGAAGTCTCAACAAATATCAAAGAATCTAGAGCATATGTCTTTGTTCTCTAAACATAATTAAATAAGGTTAGAAAGTAGTAACAAAAAGAGAACTGAAAATCCCCTATAATTTGGAAAACAGAAGCACTCTTTAAATTATATGTTGGTCCTAGAAGATACACTAGAAATTATGAAATATTTAGGTGACAAGAGGATCACTCCATGTCAGAACCTGTGGAATAAAACTAAAATTTAAATTATAGCTTAATACATATAATAGAATATAAGAAACATTGAAAATCATAAGCAAGGCATTTAACTCAAGGAGTTAGAAAAAAAGAACAACTGAGTAATCCAAAGAAAGTAGAAGAAGAGTAGGAAAAAAGTAGAAGTAATGATATTGAAAATAAAGAAACAATAGAGAGGATCAACAAAACCAAAATCTGCTTGGGAATGCAAACTGGTGCAGCCACTCTGGAGAACAGTATGGAGGTTCCTCAAAAAATTAAAAATAGAACTACCCTATGACCCACCAATTGCACTACTAGGTATTTATCCAAGGGATACAGGTGTGCTGTTTCAAAGGGACACATGTACCCCAATGTTTATAGCAGTACTATCAGCAATAGCTAAAGTATGGAAAGAGCCCAAATGTCCACTGACTGATCAATGGATAAAGAAGATTGTATATATGTATATATATAGTGGAGTATTACTTGACAATCAAAAAGAATGAAATCTTGCCATTTGCAACTACGTGGATGGAACTAGAGTGTATTATGCTAAGTGAAATTACTCAGAGAAAGACAAATATCATATGACTTCACTCATATGAGGACTTTAAGACACAAAACAGATGAACATAAGGGAAGGGAAGCAAAAATAATATGAAAACAAGGAGTGGGACAAAACATAAGAGACTCTTAAATATAGAGAACAGGGGCGCCTGGGTGGCGCAGTCAGTTAAGTGTCCGACTTCAGCCAGGTCACGATCTCGCGGTCCATGAGTTCGAGCCCCGCGTCGGGCTCTGGGCTGATGGCTCGGAGCCTGGAGCCTGTTTCAGATTCTGTGTCTCCCTCTCTCTCTGCCCCTCCCCCATTCATGCTCTGTCTCTCTCTGTCCCAAAAATAAATAAACGTTGAAAAAAAAATTTAAAAAAAAATATGGAGAGCAAACAGAGGGTTGTTGGAGGGGTTGTGGGAGGGGGGATGGGCTAAATGGGCAAGGGGCTTAAGGAATCTACTCCTGAAATCATTATTGCACCATGTGCTAACTAACTTGGATGTAAATTATAAAAAATAAATAAACTGTAGAAAGTAAACAACAGCAACAACAAAAACCCCAAATCTGCTTTCAACGCAGTTGAAAAACCTTTGATAATATTGGGTGATTTTTGATATTTGATAATATCAGAGAGATCGAGAGCATAAATAATATTTGGAATTTTTAAAAATAGAGCATTCACAAAGGAAAAGCTAAGACTTCAAAAATCATTAGAAAATATTATAAATAACTATGACAATACATTTGGAAACTTGGATGAAATAGACAATTTTCTTACAAAGTGTAAATTACCAAAATTAATTCAAGAAAAAAATAGAAATCTTGACTAGCTCAATGGTTATTTTGAAAAAAAATGAGTAAGTAATAAAAATAGGCCTCCTTTCTCCACCCCCACCTTACTCTAGGCTCAGATATTTTAAAAGGTAAGGTTTATTGCACTTTTAGGGAATAGGTAATCTCTAGCTTATACAATGTTCAGAGAATATAAAGAGTTGGAAAACTGCTTAATTTATTTTATGAGAGATAGAACTTTTATAGCAAAACTAGTTAAGGAGAGTAGTAGAAAGAATAATTATAGGCCAATTTCATTTAATAACAAAGATTCAAACATCTTAAAATATTAACAAATTGAATCTAAGATTGTGTATTACAAAATGTATTGTACTAGGTTGGATTTATCCCATTAATGCAAGGTTGATTTTAACATTAGACAAAATATTAGTGTAATTCACTACATTAAAAGACTAAATGAACAAAATTGCACGATCATTTCAATAGATGTAGAAGAGTCTTTTTGAAAACAATGTTGCATTCATTCATCATGAAAGCTCTTAGGGAAATAGAAGAAACCTTCCTTAAAGCTCTCTATCAAAAACCTGAAGCAAGGTTACCTGATATTGAATCTTTAGAAACATTCATTAAATCAGAAACAAGACTATGATATTCACTATCATGACTTTTATTTGTCATTATAGTGGCAGTCCTAGCTAGTACAGTAAGACAAGAAAAATAAATAAGAGACCTAACACTGTACTGTACTGGAGCTGGCTTTAACCTGCTCTTGCAAGCTGATTGTTAAAATTTCAGGGGGTTTGTAATTCATTGACATCGCATTGGTAGCTTGAAGTTGGCCATGTTAGGAGTATATATATATCATGGAAATTGCTAATGGTACAAATGAAGGATTTCTTCCCAGAGAACTAGTTGGTAAATATTTACCAGTAGACTACTGAATATAAGGATCTGAGTGGAAGAAATGAAACTCCCTCCAAGGGAGTGTACTATTAGTACTAATAGAATTTAATTTAGCAAGAATGTGAACATAAGACCAATATCCCAGATCAGTAGCTTTCTATAAACCATCAATGATCAGAGACTGTAATAAAAATACAAATCTTATTCACAGCAAAACTGTACAGAGATTAGGAATAAATCTGATAAAAGAATTGTAAGATATTTATGGCAAAAACTTTAAACTTTATTGAATTACATCAAAGAATACCCAAATTAAATATATGTTTTAGACAGTGAGATTAAATATCATAAAGAGGCAATTTCTTCCAAATTAACTTATCAATCTAATTAATATCACATTAAGGTTTTTAAAAAATACAAACTGAGAAGCTGACCCTAAATTTCAGTGGGGAAATGATGAGCTATTTAATATGTGGAGAACAGTGGTTATTCATCTGGAAAAAAGTTAAATTAGATCCTACATTGTACTGTGCACAAAAGTCAATTACAGTTTCATGCAAGATATGAACGTGAAAAGAGAAAACATCAAACTTTGTGAAACATAGAGGAGGATTCTTGAGATATCACTCAGTATCTTAAAATAAGACATGAAAACAAAGCTATTAAAGGAAAAATATATCATATATATAAACATACGTGTGTATATATATATATATATATATGTTTTTAAATGTTTGTTTATTTTAAGAGTTTATTTATTTTGAGTGAGAGATAGAGCAGAGAAAGGGGCAGAGAGAGAGGATCCCAAGAGATAGGAACAAACAATTCATGGAAGAGAAATGTTCATGGCCAATAGGTATATAAAAGTGTCCTCAAATTCACTATTAAAATGCAAATTTCAACAATGAGCTACCGCTACTGGTAGCTTGATAAAAATGTTAATATCTGACAGCATTGAGTACTGGTGAAGGTAGGGGAAGTGGGAATTCTTTTACTCTGCTGGAAGGAGTGTAAATTGTATAACCACTTTGAAGAACATTTATATAAAGTTGCAAATAGATGTACCCTATGATCTAGAATCCCATTTCTAGATATATATCTTTGAGAAAATCTCACACATCTCACAAGGAAACATGTACGAAGATGATTATTCAAGTACAGTAGTTTCCTCTTATCCCTGGGGCATACATTCTAAGACCCTGGTGGCTACTTAAAACTGCAGATAGTACCAAACCCTATATATACTATGTTTTTTTTCTATACATATATATTCTATGATAAAGTTTAACTTATAAACTAGGCACAGTATGAGATTAATAATAACTAATAATAAAATAGGAAAATTATACTATAATAAAAGTTATGTAAATGTGTCTCAAAATACCTTATTGTACTGCACTCACCCTTTTTGTGATGATATGAGATGATAAAATGCCTACATGATGAGATTAAGTGAATGACGTAGGCATTGTGACATAGCAGTAGGATG